AACTTCCCATGCTCCTGCTGGGGGCTAAGAACACGCTTATCTCCCTGGGCCTGGCCTTCATAAGTCCATTCCATCACAGTAGCATACCTTACCCCACCCGTGCCCTCAGCTTAGAAAAGGGAAAGCCAACCTGGTGTGTGTGGGGTTGTGCAGGAGAAGATGAGACGAGGTAGAAACTTCTGGGCAACTGCAACATCAACAGACAACCAAGTGGGCTGACAATCAATTGCTAAGACTACAAGTCACGGTAAGCAGCCCATCTTGGTTTGATCCCTGCCTGGCGCTTGGCTTGGGAACAGCGCTTGGTGTTCTGTGACAACATTGCTTAAGAGCAGGACTTGGAGCTCGGCAGCAATTATAGAAGGAGCAACGGCGCTGAGGCAGCTCATAATCCCAATGAATGCAAGAACCTTTGGAGGGAGGCAAGGACTGTATGCCCCTTCATGAACTCTAAGACTTTTAACTGCTGTAAGGACTGAGCCCCAAGGACTTCTCTGCCAACCTGGAAGGGCTTGGAGCTGGAGTGAGCTCTGCCCAGCCAGGACAACAGCCTGTTGTTGGGGAACCTGCATGCCACAATAAAGTATTATGTAAAGTTTTCATCTGTGCTGTGCTGTGTCTAGTCATAACTGAGAAGGGCACCTCACAGGACACACCATCGGCACTGGCATTTTTCTGCTTTTCTGGGCATACTTTCCTTGAAGTGAGACTTTTGAAGCAACTCTGCTCAGAGAATAATTCATATTATTTCCAGAGTCTTGTAGTTTGCTAGAAGTGCCCTTTCTTAATGGAGCCAGATTAGGTGTCTTCCTGCTTTACTTGATGCCAACTGATTTATTGGAATAGAGTTAAATCTCTTAGAATACAGACAGACATAGATAAAATAGTGTGAACAGGCTTAGGATAGAACTGGACTGTGATTGAACTTGTAGCATACTGACCAAAATGTGCCACAGCTGATGGGCTACATCCTTACCATTAGTATGTGGTATGCGCAACTAAGGCTGATAGCTGATATTCTATATCCTCTATCTTACTAAAAGGTACTAGGGGAATGTTGACTAGATTGTTGATTTGATTGACTAGAGCTAGCAACTTGGTATTTTAAAATTCAAAATTGTGAATATGGAAGCTTTGAGATCCAAACAATATGTTGGCTTTTTCATTTGAAGCCTGAGAAAGGTGAAATTGACCTGTTCCTCCCACACACTCTTTTAACTTTAATCATTTAAGCATTTCCCCTCCATCCAAACCACGTGTCTTCAGGATTCTTGGAGAATCTCCCATAATTACCCTGCCAGAATGGTTGGGGAAAAACTGACTAAACTCCACCTTTTCCTTTAAAGTCCCACTCACCTTTAGAGAGATGTTTTTCAGGCCCAAAAAAGTGTTAATGTCCATGTTGATGTCGTTTTTGCTAAGTGCCCTGAGATCATCACCTGGAGCACCTCCTGCAAGCAAGGACAAAAACTTAGCTGGTATCTTTAACTTGTCTTCTCAAGTGAAAGAGTGGTGGCAAGTTTTTCTTGAAATATTTTCAGTAGGTTTTATTAATAACTGCATATTTTCTAAAATATTTCAAACCATTACACATGGTGAGCCCCCAGTGTTTCACAGCTTTATTTTGGTGCTTATTGCAAGGTACTTTGTATGACATTGTAACTCACTGAAACACTCCTTTAAATAGTGATTATCAGAAAATGTAAATTAATTCCAATCCATGTGAAATGTTGGTGGTGGGAATAGAGAGACAGCCAGCCTTCAAAACTACCTATCCAAATAGATGTTGTAATAGTTTAATCTTTGCCACCTTAATAGACTTTTTGCCATAAAGAAAAAGATTTATTTATTTATTTATTAAATTTAT